GCCATAAACTAAAAGGTGCAAAACCCACTTTCTTATGAATGAGTACACCTACGTAAGCTAAATTGTGAAGCACATAGGTAAGGTACCAGTTTCCAGTGTATTTTATTCTCATTAATCTTGTTGCATTAGTCATTACATCAGAATAGGGCACTTTTACTTTTGTACCTTTTGAGTTTTTATTATTTTTAATAAGAATGGCATGTTCTTTATAATCACAGAATACAAAAGACTTAAGCTTTTTAATTAAGAGCAAAATGACCTTGGATAGCAGAAGCGTGGCATAAGGAACAAGTTAAAAAAAAAAGAATTTATATTGCACTGTGTGAAAGCAAAAGTAACACCTTATCAGCATAATGACAGCATTATTTATATAACTTTCATGTACCACTTTCACAACACTATTTCTATTAAATCATTGAGAATAAACATCTATGTTCATTTACTAATCTTTTTCCCAATTAGAATCTCTCAGAATCTGTGTACAATAGTAATTTCATTTCTTCTCACTTGCTAGCATCTTAATTAAAATCAGCTTATGTTGACTCTCATTTTTACAGTATAGCTGCCTATTTCACATCTTAGCACCTTCATGACTCCCAGAGAGTCATGAGCCTTTAATATTTTATTTTGACCTTGTTAAGTTACTGGAACCATCAAAGATTTCTCTTCTTTCCTTGGTAAGCGCTTTTTATCCTTCTCACAACACACTGTATGTGCAAAAACACCTAGTTGAGAATGATGCTGTCTTTATACAACATTGATCTGATCATTTATTTTAAAAAGCAGGCTTTGCACCTTTTAGTTCATCACAAGAATTGGTTTACAAATCATAAACTGCATTATTAATTGAATGAAGATCACCGGTTCAATGGTACTTAGCGGTCTTTTTTCCTCTGAGCTTCAGGACAGAAAAATGTATTTTTCTATTTAAAAAAAAAAATCAGTAATTGGTATTTTTTCAGAGAGGGTTTTATAGCAGTATTTTTCTATATAGAATTCTAAGTCTATAAACACGTAGGCAGTTTGTATGGAGAACCAGGGTTTTTCATTAGAGCAGGTGGCACAGATGAAAAATAAAAATATCCAGACACACAAACCCTTACTCAGGTCTGTAAGAGAAAGCGTTTCAGTGGCATCATTCAGTCTAATAGCTGGTACTGTTCTGGATGCACAGACCACATGAAGCAGCAGTTCAGAGGGAAAACAAAAAGATGCACATCTCCTTAGTCCTCACTTCTCTATCATCTGCAAATTTATCTTTTTAATTCACAGAAAAGACAAAATATTGAGAATACTGGCACTTATTTTTATGTATTTGGCTTGGGTCGGCATTCAAATTCTTCTAGTGTTAGTATTCTCAGAACACAGGCTCAGGGAAAAGTCTCCTCACTGGGGCTTCACTCACTATTGAATTTATGTTCCAGAAAGCAGAAGCCTTAAGTTTGCCAGTCATGAACAACTACCATTTGGCTACTGGGTGGAGGAAACTGGAGGCAGAGTGTGATGAAGTGAAATGTTTACTAGGAAAGGATGAATTTTTTTTTTTTTAAAAAAGGAATATCATAAGGAGTAAGAATAAGGGTCAATAATAAAATAGGTTGGAGAGGAGAAGGGCTTGTTTTAAGAAGAAAGAAGCATGAAGGTAAGGGACTAACATCATACAAACATGTTCAGTCCTCATTAGAGGATAGGGGAGGACACCCAAGAGAAGATGCTGCTTGTGGTTGAATCAGCATTTCAGCTAGAGAGAGGAACAAAATTTAGGAGCTTGCAAGGAATAAAGCTAATAGATCACTTGGGCATTTGCTATGGAAGAGATTATGGAATGGTAAAGTGGAACTCCCAATGGAAGTAATTATAATTTCAGCACTTCATATTCTGTGCAGATTTACCCAAGGACCCAAGGACCCCTTAATTTAACTGCTGAACATGCTCACCTTCTTCCCTCGCCACACACTATATCCCCTTTTCCCCTAGCCACACTCAAACATGAGCACTACTAGTCAAAGAGCATCTGAAGTTGTCACCAATAGCAGAGCTATGTATGAAGAAATGCAATGCAAATATCCACTGTTCTCTTGCAAGAAAGATTTGTTTTGCTGTCAGTGAGTGCTGAGGAAAAAAAAAAAAAAAAAAACACAACCCTTTACAAGCTCCTATCAGGTCAGGCCCACGGCAAGCACCGAACATTATTGAACCTACAATTAGCAGCATGAGAGTAGGCGTGGGGACCAGTATCAAGGCATGCTAACTCGGAAGGAGAGAGAGATTCTCTAGCTTAAAGGTAAAGCAGCAACAGATTCCTACGTACTAACACCTGTTTTAGTGCTAATTTATTGCTGAAGCCGTAGCTTTGCATGTGTGTTGGCTTCCCAGTTGTTAAACAGTTAACTAACCCCCTTGCCATGCCACCACACAGGCACCGCATGGAAAGGACCGCTCCAGGACAGAGCCAGATCCTCTTCTTAAACAGAAACGAGTTCAAGTGAAGGTCATAAATCCCACTTGCACATTTGCAAAAAGTATAAGGGGAAGGCAAAATACTTACACCATAAAATGCTCATGCATTCCCATTAAATGTATTTGAATTGGTATTTTACATCTCTTCTAATTTACAAGAACCAGTAGCACACAAAAAGAGAAATGTTACCTCACAAGTGGCCAAATGCAGTAACATATTCTTAGGCTTCAGCAAGTCAACACTATGAATGGACTTTTTTTCCCCTCAGAGCTTAATCTATCTATTCTGCTCCTGCAACAGAACTGTGCTCACCTGTGCCTTGAATATGTGCTGCTATGAAGGAAGAGAGTGGTGAGAAACACCGGACAAGGAAAGAATGGTATTTTAAGAAAGGCAGGCAATCACTCCTTAAAAAAAAAAAAAAAAAGAATGGAAATTCCCATCTGCTATTCAAACACTGATTTCCACCACTATCGCTCAGGAAATAAACTTTTGCCTATGCCACGTAAGACCAATCCTAGCTAACCCTTGCATTTCCACACAGAAGGCTAATCAAATTCTGGATCTGTGCAGACGGATCTCTTCAAGCAGCTTGACCAAAACCAAGCTCTCAAGACACCTCAACATATGTGCACATAGGGCAGCCATCATCCCCAAAAGTTCCTAAAAGAAACATGACTGCTAAAGTATCGTTTCCCTGTGCTCAAGCCTGGCCGCATATCTGGACATCTTAAATACTCATTTAAGGACAAGAGCAGGGCAGACCTTTTGCTGTTACCTCAAAACAACCGTTTTGTTACCTCAAGCCACACTGACAGTGGTCAAATTTGAAATCGTATTTATATGCTCCTAAAATGAGCGGGTCTATTTCTTCTCACAGTGCTGGTACACCAGCTCTATCTTTAAGGCTACAATCATTAAAATATGTGTTTTGCTGAAGCTCAAAATGCACTTGCGAATCCGGAAATTGCTCCTAAATTATTTCAGGATCTGAAAGCACCCTGTGAACAACGCCTTAATTTGACTCCAGAAGTTCCCTATGAGGCAGACAAACGTACAACTTCTAAAGCTGAGCAAACGATCCAGCAGCGCATGACACGACTTGATCAAGGCAAAGCATCAAGTCAGCAGTAGAGCTGAGTCCTGCAGCTTGGTATCAACCACCAACATTGCTTCCTTCTGCATTAGTAAAAAGTTCTGTGATACTGCAACATTCCCTTTTCTGCTGAATAGAAATAAGTATATCATCGGTAGTCTTCATCTTGGTTAGTTGAATATGCATATGAATTCTACCAAAGTCAATTTAAAAGCAAGTCTGTGTGGTTAGATTAAGCAAAAAACTATGCACCAAAGACTTGCTGAGTTCTGAGAACTGAAACCACAGACAGCTAAAATATGGCTGCTCACACTCAGATACGGCGCGCCTGCTAATATTGGAAACTTTATCGTGGTGTAGCAAATTCAGCCTCTGATTAGTATGCGTGCAGAAAAACCACAGGCCGACTGCACTGTAACAAAACTAGACCACATTCTACTAAGTGTTGTAGAGACAGAGAGTGAAGGGCCATCAGTTACCTTGTGAAACACAACACTTAGGTGGATGTGGAGGCCAGAGCTGGGTGCAGATGCTAGATGTTAAGTCTCACTATGGGAAGCGTCTGTGCTAGGTGCCAAGTGCCAGATTCAGTTGCTGAATCATCAGAGTGAGCTGGTGTCAAGTGCTTCCACCAAAGAAGCCTCTGAACTCCCACCCTAACTCTTAGTTCGGGTGCTCAAAACCCATCTGTCAACCTGGGAGGCAGATCCTGCAGTCAGGATGCAACATAGCCCAAGGGGATTCAGAAGCACGCACTGAGCAGCACTTCTGAAAACCCCTCCATGAAAGCTGGAACACGATGCAAGGAAGCATCTGAGGTTCAAGGAAGAATTTGAGGTTTGTGGGACAGGGTGAGTGAGCAGGCAGCAAACGCACTTCCGCAGCTGGACAGAACACAGAGGAAGACGTGATCCTGTCCAGGATGCCAGGGTTATTTCTGGTTTTATCACGTAACTTTGATGTAAAAAATGTAAAAAAAAAAAAAAACATAAGTGATCCATAAAATGAACACCACATTGCTTGAATGAGTGCCTTATCCAGCAGGCTACTAAGCCAGGTTGACTTGTGCATGTTTTCATCTTGGTCCAACCACTCTTGCATCCTGAGCATGAACACAAGGCAGAAGAGCAGGTGCCTCCTTTTAGCTACTTTCTAAGGTTTGCTTTTTTTTTTTTTTAATTATAAGGGCTCACAATAAATACTTGTTTTGCAGCAGCCAGTTCTTCCCGTGGATCTTGCTGCAAGTGTTCCAGATGCAGATACCCCAACACACACAGCAAGGTGCACAAGTCACATACACCATCTTTAAAAGAAAACACAGTCACTCACTGCCTTTTAATTTTTCTTGTATTTTATACAGTTGCACCGGCAGTGGAAGGAGCCTGTCTGCTTTGCGCAGCATCTATTGCT